ACCTCCTCTCACCAACCGTCGCCCCAGTCGTCCGCACAATGGCTGGCACCACTGTTCTTCTCTTCTCCACCACCCCCACCATCTACGAACCCACCACCTATGAGCAAGCACTTGCCTGCCTTGATGCACCTCTCTGGATCGAGGCCATGGTCAAGGAGAGCAATGCCTTCATCAGCAACCGCTCGTTTATCGACGTCCCTTGTCCCTCAAAGCACAACGTGGTCCAAAGCAGGTGGCTTTTTCGAGTCAAACTACTCCCTGGCACCGCTCCGGTGTACAAGGCTCGATATGTGGCAAAAGGCTTCACACAGACCTATGGCTCAGACTTCTTCGAGACCTACTCACCCACCGCCACTCCACCGGTCATTCGCGTGTTTTTCGACTTTGTTGGCAGACGTGGGATGCTTCTTCACTCCATGGACGTCACCACCGCCTTTCTGCAAGGCGACCTTCATGAGCTCATTTTCCTGGAACGTCCCAAAGGCTTCCATGCTCCTCACGACCCTACCACTGTTTGGAAGCTGCTACGTCCTGTCTACGGGCTCAAACAAGCACCTCGGGAATGGCACGCCAAACTCTCCTCCACCCTTCGTACACTTGGCTTTCGCCCCTCCCGTGCCGCCTCATGCCTCTTCCTGCGCCTCACCCCATCACCCTTCTTCATCCTCGTCTACGTCGACGACATGCTGCTGGCCGCTGACACAACTGCTGACCTACAGGAGGTCAAGGATGCGCTGCAGAAACGCCTTGCCTGCAAGGACCTAGGGGAGGTTAGCAACTACCTCGGCATGGAGATCACTCGCGACCTCACTGCCAAGACCATCACCCTCTCTCAGTCATTTTACATCGAGAAGATTCTTGAGAGGTTTGGCATGACAACCTGCAAACCCATCCCCACACCACTTGCATTCGGGCATCAGCTCGCCCCTCCCACCACTCCCGTCACCTCCCCTCATCCCTACGCAGAACTTGTTGGGGCCCTGATGTACGCCATGGTCTGCACTCGTCCCGACCTTGCATACCCAGTCAGTGTTCTGGCGCAGTTCGTTGGCACCGGCAGGCATGGTGAAGAGCATTGGAAGGCGGCCATGCGTGTTCTTCGCTACCTTCAAGGCACGAAGGACCATGTCCTCACTCTGGGTGGTGTGAATCCGCCCACTCTTCAAGGCTTCAGCGACTCATCTTGGGCCGACGCACAGCCCGACCGTCGCAGCTCTCAGGGATATGGCTTCACACTTGGGGGCGGCCTCATCAGTTGGCGCTCCACCCGCTCCTCCTCCGTTGCCCTCTCATCCTGCGAAGCCGAACTGTACGCAGTCACGATGGCGGCTCAAGAAGCACGTTGGCTCAGCTACCTGCTCACCGACCTTGGCTCTCCACAGCCCCGCCCCACCCTGTGGTGTGACAACGACAGTACCATCCACCTCACCAAGGAAGCAGTTTTTCATGGTCGCTCTAAACACATCGAGCTTCGCTACTACTTTGTTCGCGACCTTGTCCAAGATGGTCACCTCACCGTTCGCAAAATCGCCTCCTCCGACAACCTCGCCGATCTCTTCACCAAGGCTCTCCACCGCTCCGACCACTCTGCGCTTTTGCGTCTCCAGGGACTTGCTCCCCGCGGTGGCTGACTCAGGGGTTGTTACTCTCTCTCTTCCCTAGCTTATGGATTTCTGTAGGTTAAGGGGTTGTGTCAGATTACCATCCTCATTGTAACCTACATCAATCCTATAAGCTTAGGCTAGAGATAGCCACCCAAACTTAGTTTGGGTGTAGAACTACGGCTAACCCTAGTTGGGGGTTGGAACTCCAACCTTGGCCCCAAGGTTGGGTTGGGAATTATTGGTCCCCCCAATAATGTTGAACCAACTTGGTCAACATTATTGGTCCCCCCAATCATCCCTCAACCCAACTTATTGGTGGGGGCCAATAATGTTGGCTTGGTTCCCAACCAACCCCTCCCCCCAGCACTACTATGTATACCTCCCTCTCTCTTAATGAATTTAATGGTTCTTCCTCTCGTTTTCTCTACAAGCACCACAACCCACCTCACTTGAAGCAGCACCACAACCCACCTCACTTGAAGCAGCACCACAACCCACCTCACTTGAAGCAGCACCACAACCCACCTCACTTGAAGCAGCACCACAACCCACCTCACTTGAAGCAGCACCACAACCCACCTCACTTGACGCAGCACCACAACCCACCTCACTTGAAGCAGCACCACAACCCACCTCACTTGAAGCAGCACCACAACCCACCTCACTTGAAGCAGCACCACAACCCACCTCACTTGACGCAGCACCACAACCCACCTCACTTGAAGCAGCACCACAACCCACCTCACTTGAAGCAGCACTACAACCCACCTCACTTGAAGCAGCACCACAACCCACCTCACTTGAAGCAGCACCACAACCCACCTCACTTGACGCAGCACCACAACCCACCTCACTTGAAGCAGCACCACAACCCACCTCACTTAAAGCAGCACCACAACCCACCTCACTTGAAGCAGCACCACAACCCACCTCACTTGACGCAGCACCACAACCCACCTCACTTGAAGCAGCACCACAACCCACCTCACTTGAAGCAGCACTACAACCCACCTCACTTGAAGCAGCACCACAACCCACCTCACTTGAAGCAGCACCACAACCCACCTCACTTGAAGCAGCACCACAACCCACCTCACTTGAAGCAGCACCACAACCCACCTCACTTGAAGCAGCACCACAACCCACCTCACTTGAAGCAGCACCACAACCCACCTCACTTGAAGCAGTGCCACAACCCACCTCACTTGAAGCAGCACCACAACCCACCTCACTTGAAGCAGCACCACAACCCACCTCACTTGACGCAGCACCACAACCCACCTCACTTGAAGCAGCGCCACAACCCACCTCACTTGAAGCAGCACCACAACCCACCTCACTTGACGCAGCACCACAACCCACCTCACTTGAAGCAGCACCACAACCCACCTCACTTGACGCAGCACCACAACCTACCTCACTTGAAGCAGCACCACAACCCACCTCACTTGAAGCAGCACCACAACCCACCTCACTTGAAGCAGCACCACAACCCACCTCACTTGACGCAGCACCACAACCCACCTCACTTGAAGCAGCACCACAACCCACCTCACTTGAAGCAGCACCACAACCCACCTCACTTGAAGCAGCACCACAACCCACCTCACTTGACGCAGCACCACAACCCACCTCACTTGAAGCAGCACCACAACCCACCTCACTTGAAGCAGCACTACAACCCACCTCACTTGAAGCAGCACCACAACCCACCTCACTTGAAGCAGCACCACAACCCACCTCATTTGAAGCAGCACCACAACCCACCTCACTTGAAGCAGCACCACAACCCACCTCACTTGAAGCAGCACCACAACCCACCTCACTTGAAGCAGCACCACAACCCACCTCACTTGAAGCAGCACCACAACCCACCTCACTTGACGCAGCACCACAACCCACCTCACTTGAAGCAGCACCACAACCCACCTCACTTGAAGCAGCACCACAACCCACCTCACTTGAAGCAGCACCACAACCCACCTCACTTGAAGCAGCACCACAACCCACCTCACTTGAAGCAGCACCACAACCCACCTCACTTGAAGCAGCGCCACAACCCACCTCACTTGAAGCAGCACCACAACCCACCTCACTTGAAGCAGCACCACAACCCACCTCACTTGAAGCAGCACCACAACCCACCTCACTTGAAGCAGCACCACAACCCACCTCACTTGAAGCAGCACCACAACCCACCTCACTTGAAGCAGCACCACAACCCACCTCACTTGAAGCAGCACCACAACCCACCTCACTTGACGCAGCACCACAACCCACCTCACTTGAAGCAGCACCACAACCCACCTCACTTGAAGCAGCACTACAACCCACCTCACTTGAAGCAGCACCACAACCCACCTCACTTGAAGCAGCACCACAACCCACCTCACTTGAAGCAGCACCACAACCCACCTCACTTGAAGCAGCGCCACAACCCACCTCACTTGAAGCAGCACCACAACCCACCTCACTTGAAGCAGCACCACAACCCACCTCACTTGAAGCAGCACCACAACCCACCTCACTTGAAGCAGCACCACAACCCACCTCACTTGAAGCAGCACCACAACCCACCTCACTTGAAGCAGCACCACAACCCACCTCACTTGAAGCAGCACCACAACCCACCTCACTTGAAGCAGCACCACAACCCACCTCACTTGACGCAGTACCACAACCCACCTCACTTGAAGCAGCACCACAACCCACCTCACTTGAAGCAGCACCACAACCCACCTCACTTGAAGCAGCACCACAACCCACCTCACTTGAAGCAGCACCACAACCCACCTCACTTGAAGCAGCACCACAACCCACCTCACTTGAAGCAGCACCACAACCCACCTCACTTGAAGCAGCACCACAACCCACCTCACTTGAAGCAGCACCACAACCCACCTCACTTGAAGCAGCACCACAACCCACCTCACTTGAAGCAGCACCACAACCCACCTCACTTGAAGCAGCACCACAACCCACCTCACTTGAAGCAGCACCACAACCCACCTCACTTGAAGCAGCACCACAACCCACCTCACTTGACGCAGCACCACAACCCACCTCACTTGAAGCAGCACCACAACCCACCTCACTTGAAGCAGCACCACAACCCACCTCACTTGAAGCAGCACCACAACCCACCTCACTTGAAGCAGCACCACAACCCACCTCACTTGAAGCAGCACCACAACCCACCTCACTTGACGCAGCACCACAACTCACCTCACTTGAAGCAGCACCACAACCCACCTCACTTGAAGCAGCACCACAACCCACCTCACCTTTCCACGAGCTCTGCCAGAGATTCCTGGAGCCAGAAGCTGGGACCAGCGAGACAGCGATGGAAGCAGCACCTGACTGCACCGCAGTGAACCTGACAGCATCTAGGCATACCTTTCCACAAGTTCTGCCAGAGATTCCTGGAGCCAGAAGCTGGGGTGCGCAAGACAGCGACACTTGAATCCCCTCATGTACAGCTGCGCAGGGAGGGAGGGGAGTGGAGGAGGAGAAGGGAGGGAGGGGAGACGGGGGGAGAAGGGAAAAGAGGAACGTGCAAGACATTGACACATAAATCCCCGCATCGCATGTACAGCTACGCAGGGAGGAGAGGCACGTGACAAAACAAGTGTTTTGAGATGTCTCAAACACTTCTATCACGAGGAATGTGCGAGACGTTGACACATAAATCCCCGCATCGCACGTACAGCTACGCAGGGAGGAGAGGCACGTGACAAAACAAGTGTTTTGAGATGTCTCAAACACTTCTATCACAAGGAATGTGCGAGACATTGACACATAAATCCCCGCATCGCATGTACAGCTACGCAGGGAGGAGAGGCACGTGACAAAACAAGTGTTTTGAGATGTCTCAAACACTTCTATCACGAGGAATGTGCGAGACGTTGACACATAAATCCCCGCATCGCACGTACAGCTACGCAGGGAGGAGAGGCACGTGACAAAACAAGTGTTTTGAGATGTCTCAAACACTTCTATCACGAGGAATGTGCGAGACGTTGACACATAAATCCCCGCATCGCACGTACAGCTACGCAGGGAGGAGAGGCACGTGACAAAACAAGTGTTTTGAGATGTCTCAAACACTTCTATCACAAGGAATGTGCGAGACGTTGACACATAAATCCCCGCATCGCATGTACAGCTACGCAGGGAGGAGAGGGAGGGGAGGTGAGGTAAGGGGAAAAGGGTAGAAGAGGGGAGAAGGAAAGGGAGAAGAGGAGAGGAGAGGAGAGGAGAGGAGAGGAGAGGAGAGGAGAGGAGAGGAGAGGAGAGGGGAATAGAGGAGAGGAGAGGATTGTTGACGAGATTAGCTTTGCCCTCGCTTGGGCAAAAGTCGGCAACCGGCTTGGTGAATCCTTACCCGTGGGGGGTCGGGTCGGGTCGGGTCGGGTTGGGTCGGGTCGGGTCGGGTCGGGTCGAGCTGGACGGGTCAAGCCCACTGGAGAAGCGACCCGACCCAGCCAAAACCCTGGGTCGGGTGATTCGACCTGACTCGACCTGACCTGATCTGTTTCGTTCACGCCTAAATTGAACACATGTAGCATGGCAACAAAATTGGCATCCCGACGTTCCTCCCGCACGGTCTACTCCCGCATGGTCTACTCCCGCACACTCTCACTTGATGCAGCAGCAGCAGGTGTAGTGTCACACACACACTCATTTCATTGAGCAGCAATGACGTGTCATAGAAGCCGTAGATGGTGTGAGAGAGAGGGTGAGCGGACTAGCAAGCAAGCAGGCGCCACAGTGCCACACGAAGCAAGCAGGTGTAGTGTCACACACACACTCACTTCATAGAGCAACAGGGGCGTGTCATAGAAGCCGTAGATGGTGTGATTCCCCACAAACAGCACACTGCGATTGGGTTGCTGGGCCAGCTGGTGGTGAGAGGAGGGGGAACAGAGAGGGTGGGACAGAGAGGGCAGGGCAGAGAGGGAGGGGCGGAGAGGGAGGGGCAGAGAGGGAGGGGCAGAGAGGGAGGGGCAGAGAGGGCGGGACAGAGAGGGAGGGGCGGAGAGGGAGGGGCAGAGAGGGAGGGGCAGAGAGGGAGGGGCAGAGAGGGTGGGACAGAAAGGGAGGGACAGAGAGGGCGGGACAGAGAGGGAGGGGCAGAGTGGGCGGGACAGAGAGGGCGGGGCAGAGAGGGAGGGGCGGAGAGGGAGGGGCAGAGAGGGAGGGGCAGAGAGGGCGGGACAGAGAGGGAGGGGCGGAGAGGGAGGGGCAGAGAGGGTGGGATAGAGAGGGCGGGACAGAGAGGGCGGGACACAGGGGGGGTGACAGACAGCGGAGGAAGGAGAAAGGAGAATGGAGTCGGGTAAGAGAGTGCGAATCAGTAGATGCCGTGCGTCAGGCAGCAAACAGCATGCTTCAATCAAGTCACAATTGAGCTGAGACCAGCGGATAGCGGAGACAGAAGTAAGAAAAGAAGACTGGCAGGGAGGAATGACATGGCGAAGGGTAAAGGACAGTCACAGGAGAGACCAACTTTTGAGACGTCTCAAAAGTCGTTTTGAGATGTCTCAAAAACAGTCACAGGAGAGAGCAACTTTTGAGACGTCTCAAAAGTCGTTTTGAGACGTCTCAAAAACAGTCACAGGAGAGAGCAACGACTCATAGGCGAGGACACGGAGTGCGTGTACTGAGAATGTTGGAAGTCAGGAGGTTCTTGAGAGTGCAGTGCGTTTTATTCAGAGTGCAGTGCTTGTGAATGGGAATCTTGTACCTCTTGCTGCACGAGCTGCAGGTTGCCCTCGCCCACCACCAGTGGCGACACCAGCGTCTGGAGCAGCGAAGGGCATGCAATGGGATGGGATCATGGGAGGGCCGTTCGGGTGAGTACAGAGAGGAGTGTGGGCTCAGCAAGAATACTATTTGGGCACTTTTAGTTGGTGTATCAACGCTTTCCCCTTTCCAGTTCTTTCCCCCTCCCTTCCACTTTCCACCCAGCCCCTTCTACCCACAACCCTTCCACTCCACCCACCCGCTTCGCCCAACCTCCTCATACAGCTGCTACAGCTCCCTCCCTCTCAACTGCTTTCCATCCACCTACCTGCCTTCCATTCACCCTTCCTTCACCTATCCCCCTCTACATTTACCCCTTTCCATCCCCCCCTCCCTCCCACCTACCCGCCACGTGTCCATGCTTCGCCCAACCTCCTCATACAGCCGCTCCAGCTCCCTCCCCCTCAGCTGCCTCCCGCTCTTCCTTTTCCTCCTCCTCCTCCTCGCTTCACCTCGCCGTCTCTCCCCCTCACCGTCTCCTTCGCCCCTCCCACTCCCATCCTCTGTACGATCCCCCATCTTCTGCCCTTCAACTGCCTGCAAGTCCTTCTGCTCTCTCAGAGGAGCTTCAGACCCCCCAGCTCCCCCACCTCCCCGCAACGCCTGGGTCGGAACAGCTGCAGAAGGCTCCCCTCCTGCTACCTCCTCTCCTTCTCGCCCAATGAGGGCCGCCTCTCCGTCTCGTCCAATCACACCCTCCTGTGCCTCTCGCTGAGTGGCTGCCTCGTTGCTGTTCGCAAAAACCGAACGCTCGCCACGCTCGCGTGGCAGCGCGTGATTGGTGGGAGCGAAGCCGTGAGTGGCGAGGATGGCAGCAATGTCCACGTCAGCCTCCAGGAGTACTGTGTGGCCACTGAGAGGGGATGAGGGGTGGAGGGAAAGGGGAGAAGAAACAGAAGAGTGAGGATTGATTGATAAGCCACACGGGGGAGAGACTAGGAGATGAAGGATGGCCTTCATCCTTCATCCTGTCGATGTGGCGGTGCTGTGGCAGTGATGAAGGATGGCGTGGCGGCACATCATGTTAGAAGAGAGAGAATTGATGCATTACATAATGAGCCAAGAGGCCCTTTAGTACAAACAATGAGCAAGAGAGAGATGAGAGGGAAGCTTACCCTATTGGCCAATAAGTTGGCCAATGGGTGAGCTTGCTTGTGGCCCAAGCAACCACAAATGTGTGTTGGTTGGGATTGGTTGAGCTAAGGACCAATCCCAACCAACCACAAAATGTGGTTGGAGGGTACACTAAGCAACCCCCCAATTTATAAATGTGCTACACTTCTAGCCTATGCATGTTGTATAAAATATGAAATTACAACACAACCCCCCAACATGCATAAGGCTAGAAGACCAGAATCAAGAGGCGGGCGGCGACTTTGGAGGAGTGAGGCCAAGGAGACGAAGGAGTGAAGAGTGAGCCGCTTGAGGAAGAGCTTTTGTGAAAATGTCGGCAAGGTTGGCTGCCGAGTCAACCTTGTCGAGCCGAAGGTGCCCCGCCTGAACAAGATCGCGAATGAAGAAATGACGGAGCTCAATGTGCTTGGAGCGCCCGTGAAACACAGCATCCTTAGTGAGGTGAATGGTACTGGCATTGTCACACCAGATGGTGGGACAGCGCTGGGGGGCACCAAGTTCCTCAAGAAGGAAGGTGAGCCAGCGGGCCTCTTGCGCAGCCATGGTGGCGGCATACAACTCCGCCTCGCAGGAGGAGAGGGCGATAGCCGAGGAGCGAGTGGAGCGCCAGCTGATAAGGCCGCTGCCAAGAGAGAAGCCATAGCCCTGGGAGGAGCGACGATCCGACCGGGAATCAGCCCACGAGGAGTCACTGTAGCAGCTGAGGAGAGGTGGGGAGGGGCCGCCAAGGGTAAGGACATAGTCTTTGGTGCCACGAAGGTACCGGAGGACACGCTTGGCGGCCTGCCAGTGCTCTTCCGTATGCTTGCCTGCGCCAACAAAACGGGCAAGGACGCTAATGGGGTAGGCAAGGTCAGGGCGAGTGGAGACCATGGCGTACATGAGGGAGCCGATGAGCTCTGGATAAGGATGAGAGGAGGTTGAGGGGGAGGTGGGTGGAGAGAGATGGTGCTCGACAGAAAGAGGAGTATGTTGGGCACCGCCCCGGGCCATGTCAAACCGCTCCAAGACCTGCTGCAAGTAATGACCCTGGGAGAGAGAGATGGTGCGGGCGGAGCGGTCGCGGGTGATGGTCATGCCCAGGTAATGCTGCAGCTCTCCCAAGTCCTTGCACTTGAGTCGGCTACCCAACTCAGCCTTAACACGCTCCAACTTAGCAAGGTCGGCGGTGAGCAGAATCATGTCATCGTCATACACAAGGATGTAGAAGGGGGAGGGGGAGGTGCGGAGGAAGAGGCTGGCGTAGGAGCGGGAGGTGCGAAACCCAAGTTCAGCAAGGGTGGCGGCAAGCTTAGCATGCCACTCCCTAGGGGCCTGTCGGAGCCCATACACCGGTCGATGCAACTGCCAGACAGAGTCTGCCGGGAAGGGAAGGTGAAAGCCGGCTGGACGCTCCATGTACATAAGCTCGCGGAGGACGCCTTGTAGGAAGGCGTTAGAAACGTCCATCGAGTGGATCTCCATATTGAGGCGAGCGGCGAGGTCGAGCACGGCGCGAACAGTAGCAGGCTTGGCAGTAGGGGAGAAGGTATCGAAGAAGTCAAAACCATACCGCTGCGTGAACCCCTTGGCGCAGTAACGAGCCTTATAGACGGGCGGCTCCCCTGACAGCTGCTTGACGCGAAACACCCACTTTCCTTTCACCACGTTCGTAGGGGCGGGAGGGCGAGGCACATCGACAAAAGAGGAGTTGCCGATAAAGGCCTCCAGCTCCTTGATGATGGCGGCGAGCCATAGCGGAGCGTCAGGGCATGCCATTGCCTCCTCGTACGTGGTATGAACGAAAATGGAGGGAGCAGAGGAGAAGGCGAAGACAGGTGTGCCGGAGAGGTCGAACGTGATGGGTAGAAGCGAGGGGTCAGGTGGAGGTCAAGGAACTCCTCATGGGAGTCCTCAGAGAGGGAGGTGTGGAAGGCGCGGATGACTGCTGGTGCTGCTGCTGGTGCTGCTGGTGGAGTCGCTGCCGGTGCCGGTGCTGGTACTGCTGCTGGTGCCGCTGCTGGTGCCGCTGCTGGTGCCGCTGCTGGTACTGTTGCTGGTGCTGCTGCTGGTCCGGCTACTGCTGCGGCTGCTGGTACTGCTGCTGTTGCCGCTGCTGGTCCCGCCGCTGCTGCCGCTGCTGGTCCCGCTGCTGCTGCCGCTGCTGGAGCTGCTGCTGGAGCCGCCGCTGGGGCCGCTGCTTGTGCCGCTGCTGGAGCCGCTACTGGTGCCGCTGCTGGAGAGGAGGTGGCTGAGGGGGCTATTGCATGAGGGACTTGATGCAAGACAGCCTGGAAGAAGTGACGAAGGACGGGGAAGAGAGGGGGGAGGGTAGAGGTGGAGAGGGTAATGGGAGGCGGTGCACCAAGGATGCTGTCACGTGACCTGGTGTGGGGATACCGGGTGAGTATGGTGCGGGAAGGGGGAGGACGGGTCGATGGCGAGGGAGAGGAAGGGGGGGGAGGGGGGGCACTAGGAGAGGAGTGAGCGGGGGAGACAGGAGAAGATAAAGGTTCCGGGTCAAAGATGTCACCAGATGAGGGAGGGGTACCGTGGGACTGGGACGGCGGAGGGGGGGGGGGGGGGAAGGATGGGGGGAGGAGGGAGTAGTGGGGGAGGGGTGGTGTCAGACCAGACAAGGGGATGGGTGAGAGGGGGGAGTGGGTCAGTAGATGTAGGAGAAGAGTAGTAGGGAGTGGACTCGTCAAAGACCACATCCCGGCTGCGGATTAGACGACCGGATGGGGGGTGGAGGAAAAGGTAGTCGAGGGAGGAGGGATTATGACCAAGGAAGATGCAAGGAAGGGTACGAGGGGCAAGCTTTCCCATGGAACGGGAGCGGTCAAAGGGGTGAATGAGGACATGTGCCTTAGAGCCCCAGACACGAAGTGATGAGGCATCAGGCTTGTCCTTCGTCCACAGCTCAGTGGGGGTGATGGAGGGGAGAAGGGGGTGAGGGTAAAGGTTAGTAAGGAGGGTGGCATGAAGGAGGGCATAGCCCCAAAGAGAAGGGGGGCAGGAAGTGTGGATAAGCAGACACCGGGCTGTTTTGGTGATCTCTCAAACACGACTCTCAGCCATGCCGTTCTGCTATGGGGAGTGAGGGAGGGTGTAAGTCTGAAGGATGCCACGAGACTGACAATAGGAGGAGACTTGGTTGTTAAGGAACTCACCACCTCCATCAGAGTGAAGGCGGCGAACAGGGCGCCCAAAATGGGTGTTTGCCCGCTCGAGCCAGGCGATGATCGCAGCCGGGGCATCCGCCTTCGTCCGAAGGAGAGAGACGGACGAGTACCGACTGTGATCATCAACAAGCACGAGAAGGTAGCGATGGCCCTGGCGAGTGGGAGAGGGATTAGGGCCCCATAGGTCCATGTGAACAAGATCAAGTGGCTGCGTAGCAGCGGAGGGGGAGCTCCGGTGCGGCTGCTGCTTGAGCTTGCTCTGAACGCAGACGGTGCAGGGGGGTGCAGGGGATTTGGGGAGGGGAGGGAGGGAGCAGGGGAGACCGTGGAGGAGACCGGAGGAGACAGAGGAGCGCAGAGTAGCGAAGTTGGGGTGGCCTAGCCTGTGATGGAGGAGGATGGTGGGGTGGGAGAGGGAGCGACAAGAACAGTTAGAGTCAGGAGGGCGGGGGGTAGGGGTGGGTTAGTGGGAGGGAGGGGAGGGGGGGGGGGGAAGGAGGGGGGGGGAGGCAACTTGGAAGGTGAGGGGGCGGGGAATCCGAAGGGTGTATAGACGGGAGCGGGGACAATAGGGAATACGGGCGAGAAAACGACCTGTGGAGGTTTGGTATAGGTCACAATGGTTAGCACCACCTGGGATGAGAGTGGTGATCATGGCTTGTTGGAGGGACCTTTGGGAGAGGAGGTTAGTACGAAGGGAGGGAATGTGGAGACCGGTGACAGTACCTAAGGGAAAGAGAGGACAGGGAAGGGTGGAGGTGTTGTGACAAGGGATGGAACTGCTATCAGCGCCGAGGAGGGAGGTTGGTGTGGGGAGAGGGCGCAGTGTGCCAGCGTCACGAAGGACAGTGTCAGTGGCTCCACTGTCCAGAACGAAGTCAATGGTGGAGGAAGGTGAGGCAGAGTACTGGAACGATGTTTCATTAGCAGAAGAAGGGTACATGGGAGATGCAACAGATTCAGGTTGACCAAATAAACCAACAAAACCAAAGGAAGGGAAAGCGGTCACACTGCCACCTGCAGACGGCGCCGGGGATGCACCCGAGAGATGGGCTGCAGAGGCAGCACTCCCAGCAGTCCAGGTAGGGAAGGGCTGCTGCTGGGAAATGGGAGGAGGGGCAGTTGCGGCTGTAGGTCGAGCTGCTGCTCGAGATGCTGGAGCTGCTGCTAAAGCTGAGAAAGGAGAAGCTGCTGCCCAAACTGCTGTGACCCCTGCTGCTGACTCCCGGGCTGCTGCTGCTGCTGCTGCTGCTGCTGGGGAGGGGCGAGAGCCTAATGGGCCTGGGTGGAGGAAGGTTCATAGAGGGGAGAGGAACGGACCTCAAGGGGAGTGGGGCGAGGGTTGATGACGGACCAGCCAGGAGGGGTGCCGGTGTTGCCACGGGCAAACCACTCATCACTGAGTGCCTTGAAGCACGTCTTAGTGGCATGAGTGGTTTGGCCGCAGCGCTGTCCCTGAGTGGGACCGTAGCGAGGCAGGTACTGACAGGGAGGAAAGGCAGCTGCTGCACCACGACCCGCACTACCGCTACTCGTGCCACCGCGACCCGCGGATCCGCCTCGTCCACCCCCACGCCCACCACCACGCCCACCCCCACGCCCACCGCCACGTCCACCCTGGCTGCTGCGCGACTGGGCTGCTGCAACTGTGGAGGAAGAGTGGCGAAGGATCTCAGCTTCAGTGGTGATAATCCACTGAGTGACTTCTGCACGGGTGTGGTGCTTGGAGATAAGCTGCATGTAAGCAAGCTTGTGAGCATCGAAGGCAGGTGTGAGGCCCTCGAGGAGGTGGCAGCAGATGACGGTGTCCGGGTACACCACATTGAGAGTTGCAAGGCGCCGAGCAAGGTCTAAGACACGGCGAGTGAAAGCAGCTGCGCCAGAAGTGGAATCCATGGAGAGAGTTCCAAACTCCTTGATAAGGACGTAAAGAGTGGTAACGTCCTGCCGATCGAAAAGGTCGACCAGCAGTCGCCACAGGTGGGAGGAGGAGGTAGGTGAGAGCTCGCGTTTGAGGGAGGAGGGGATGGTGGCGAGAAGAATGGCAAGCGCGCGTCGATCAGCAACCCGCCAGACATTAATTTTCGTGGTGTAGTCTGCAAGTTCTGCCGTGTAGGTGTCCAGGTCCTCCTGGTACTTGTTGTAGCGGGCAGTGGCGTCGTCATAGATGCGCCTGTCGTCCTCGTAGCGCAATTGCAGGCGCAGGTGCTCTTGGAGATTGGTGCGGTAGGTGCGAATGGCGGTTTCCGAGCTCTGCGGGTCGTTGACATTCGGCGCAAAGGTGGGAGGATCACCGGGGGGAGAGGGCTCGGTGCCAGGGTGGGCAGGGGCAGGTCCAGTAGGAGTGGTGGGGGCCACGGGCTGAAGTCCACCGCCTTCCTGAAAGACAACCGAGCGAAGGTTGTAACCGCTAACCACAACAGAGGAGAGGAGCACCTCGACGGAATGAGCATAAGAGTGCCAATTAGCAGCAGAGTTGTCAGGCAGCAACTCGAGTGCGTCAACAGTGGCAAGGTCGACAGAAGAATCGGACGACGATGCCATAGAGATGAGGGTGAGCAGAGGCCAGGGCAAGAGGAGGATGGTGCGAGGGTACCGTTGCCAGTGCTGCTGCTGGCCCTGCTGCTCGTGCCGCTGCTGGTTCTGCAGCTGGTGCCGCTGCGGATGCTGCTGCGGGTAGGATGGGAGGAGGAGAAAGGGAGGAGCGGAGGGTGGGGAAGGTGGAGGAGGAGGAGGGCGATGCTATGGGGGATGCAAGGGGGGAGGGTGCTGCTCGTGGTGCCGCTGCAGGTGCTGCTGCTGGTGCTGCTGCAGGTAGGATGGGAGGAGGAGGACGGTGGAGGAGGAGGGCGATGCTATGGGGGAGGCAAGGGGGAAGGGTGCTGCTGATGGTGCCGCTGCTGGTGCTGCTGCTGGTAGGATGGGAGGAGGAAGGGAGGAGCGGAGGGTGGGTTGGGTGGAGGAGGAGGAGGGCGATGCTATGGGGGAGGAAAGGGGGGAGGGTGCTGCTGGTGGTGCCGTCGAGATGCCGCTGATGATGCTGCTGCAGGTATAATGGGAGGAGGAAGGGAGAGAGGGGGGGGGGGGAAGGCGATGCTGCGGGGGGGGGGGGGGGGAGGGAGAGGAGGAGGGCAGCCGTGCGGCAGATCCGCGCGACTGGGAAGCTCGTGGCGAACGCACTGTTGTAATTTCATATTTCATACAACATACATAGGCTAGAAGTGTAGCACATTTATAAATTGGGGGGTTGCTTAGTGTACCCTCCAACCACATTTTGTGGTTGGTTGGGATTGGTCCTTAGCTCAACCAATCCCAACCAACACACATTTGTGGTTGCTTGGGTCACAAGCAAGCTAACCCATTGGCCAATTTATTGGCCAATAGGGTAAGCTTCCCTCTCATCTCTCTCTTGCTCATTGTTTGTACTAAAGAGCCTCTTGGCTCATTATTCAATGTATCAATTCTCTCTCTTCTAACACGCACGCGGGACAGCCCGCGGCAAACGAGCGGGACGTGTAGAGATGGGCGCGAAATGGTCAGATTTCAGCGCGGGAGATGCAGATCTGGTCGCGCGGAGTGCAGATCTGGGTGGGCGGAGGGTAGATCTGGGCGGGCGGTGTGCAGATCTGGGCGCGCGGAGGGCAGATCTGGGCGGGCGAAGTGCAGATCTGGGCGCGCGGAGTGCAGATCTGGGCGGGCGGAGTGCAGATCTGGGCGCGCGGAGTGCAGATCTGGGCGGGCGGAGTGCAGATCTGGGCGCGCGGAGTGCAGATCTGGGTGCGAAATGTTCAGATCTGGGCGCGGGAGGAGGAGATCTGGTGGCGCGGAATCCAGATCTGGGCGCGGAATGATCAGATCTAGGCGCGGGAGGAGTAGATCTGGTCGCAGGGAGTGCAGATCTGGGCGCTGGAGATGCAGATCTGAGCGCGGGGAGTGCAGATCTAAGCTTCCCTCTCATCTCTCTCTTGCTCATTGTTTGTACTAAAGAGCCTCTTGGCTCATTATTCAATGTATCAATTCTCTCTCTTCTAACATGGTATCATGAGCTAATGGCTCACGCCTTCCTCCCTCGGTCCTTAGGCCACCCTCTCCTCCCCGTTCCTCAGATCTAGCCCCACCCACGGAGCTGCCCTCCCTTCACGCGCCCTTTAGGCGCTGTCCTCCCTCCCCGTGCGCCCCCTAAGGCGCTGCCCTCCAAGGCACGTCCAGATCTGCAACTCCAGCGCCCAGATCTGCACTCCCCGCGCTCAGATCTGCAACTCCAGCGCCCAGATCTGTACTCCCCGCGCTCAGATCTGCAACTCCAGCGCCCAGATCTGCACTCCCCGCGCTCAGATCTGCATCTCCAGCGCCCAGATCTGCACTCCCTGCGACCAGATCTACTCCTCCCGCGCCTAGATCTGTTCATTCCGCGCCCAGATCTGGATTCCGCGCCACCAGATCTCCTCCTCCCGCGCCCAGATCTGAACATTTCGCACCCAGATCTGCACTCCGCGCGCCCAGATCTGCACTCCGCCCGCCCAGATCCGCCCTCCGCGCGCTCAGATCTGCCCTCCGCGCGACCAGATCTGCACTCCGCGCGACCAGATCTGCACTCCGCGCGACCAGATCTGCACTCCGCGTGACCAGATCTGCACTCCGCGTGACCAGATCTGCACTCCGCGTGACCAGATCTGCACTCCGCGCGACCAGATCTGCACTCCGCGCGACCACATCCGCACTTCGCGCGCCCAGATCTGCCCTCCGCGCGCCCAGATCTGCACTCCGCGCGACCAGATCTGCACTCCGCGCGACCACATCTGCACTTCGCGCGCCCAGATCTGCCCTCCGCCCAGATCTGCGCTCTGCGCAACCAGATCTGCACTCCGCGCGACCAGATCTGCCCTCCGCGCGACCAGATCTGCATCTCCCGCGCTGAAATCTGACCATTTCGCGCCCATCTCTGCACGTCCCGCTCGTTTGCCGCGGGCTGTCCCGCGTGCATTCGCCACGGGCTTCCCAGTCGCGCGGATCTGCCGCACGGCTGCCCTCTTCGTCCCCTCCCCCCCCCTCTCTCCCTTCCTCCTCCCATTGTACCCGCAGCAGCACCACCAGCAGCACCCTCCCCCCTTTCTTCCCCCATAGCATCGCCCTCCTCCTCCTCCACCCAACCCACCCTCCGCTCCTCCCTTCCTCCTCCCATCCTACCTGCAGCAGCACCAGCAGCAGCACCTGCAGCGGCACCACCAGCAGCACCCTTCCCCCTTGCATCCCCCATAGCATCGCCCTCCTCCTCCTCCACCTTCCCCACCCTCCGCTCCTCCTTTCCTCCTCCCATCCTACCCGCAGCAGCATCCGCAGCGGCACCAGCTGCAGAACCAGCAGCGGCACGGGCAGCAGGGCCAGCAGCAGCATTGGCAACGGTACCCTCGCACCATCCTCCTCCTGCCCTAGCCTCTACCCACCCTCATCTCTATGGCATCGTCGTCCGATTCTTCCGTTGACCTTGCCACTATTGACGCACTCGATTGCTGCCTGACAACTCTGCTGCTAATTGGCACTCTTATGCTCATTCCGTTGAGGTGCTCCTCTCCTCTGTTGTGGTCAGCGGCTACAACCTTCGCTCGGTTGTCTTTCAGGAAGGCGGTGGACTTCAGCCCGTGGCCCCCACCGCTCCTACTGGACCTGCCCCCGCCCACCCTGGCACCGAGCCCTCTCCCCCCTGTGATCCTCCCACCTTCGCGCCGAATGTCAACGACCCGCAGAGCTCGGAAACCGCCATTCGCACCTACCGCACCAATCTCCAAGAGCACCTCCGCCTGCAATTGCGTTACGAGGACGATAGGCGCATCTATGACGAGGCCGCTGCCCGCTACAACACGTACCAGGAGGACCTGGACACTTACACTGCAGAACTTGCAGACTACACCACGAAAATTAATGCCTGGCGGGTTGCTGATCGGCGTGCGCTTGCCATTCTTCTCGCCACCATCCCCTCCTCCCTCAAACGCGAGCTCTCACCTACCTCCTCCTCCCACCTGTGGCGACTGCTAGTCGACCTTTTCGATCGGCAGGACGTTGCCACTCTTTACGCCCTTATCAAGGAGTTTGGAACTCTCTCCATGGATTCCACTTCTGGCGCAGCTGCTTTCACTCGCCGTGTCTTAGACCTTGCTCGGCGCCTTGCAACACTCGATGTGGTGTACCCGGACACCGTCATCTGCTGCCACCTCCTCGAGGGCCTCACACCTGCCTTCGATGCTCACAAGCTTGCTTACAAGCAGCTTATCTCCAAGCACCACACCCCTGCCGAAGTCGCTCAGTGGATTATCACCACCGAAGCTGAGATCCTTCGCCACTCTTCCTCCATAGCCGCAGCAGCCCAGTCGCGCAGCAGCCGGGGTGGACGTGGCGGTGGGCGTGGGGGTGGACGAGGGGGATCAGCAGGTCGCGGTGGTGCTGGCAGCAGTGGTGCGGGTCGTGGTACGGCAGCTGCCTTTCCTCCCTGTCAGTACCTGCCTCGCTACGGTCCCACTCAGGGACACCGCTGCGGCCAAACCACCCATGCCACTGAGACGTGCTTCAAGGCACTCAGTGATGAGTGGTTTGCCCGTGGCAACACCGGCACCCCTCCTCGCTGGTCCGCCCTCAACCCTCGCCCCACTCCCCTTGAGGTCCGTTCCTCTCCCCTTTATGAACCTCCCTCCTCCACCCACGCCCACCAGGCCCTCACCCCTCCCCAGCAGCAGCACCAGCAGCAGCAACAGCAGCAGCAGCTTGGGAATCAGCAGCAGGGGTCACAGCAGTATGGGCAGCAGCTTCTCCTCTCTCAGCTCCTGCAGCAGCTCCAGCATCTCCAGCAGCAGCTCGACCTCCAGCCGCAACTGCCCCTCCTCCCTCCTCCTCCGGTTTCCCAGTAGCAGCCCTTTCCTACCTGGACTGCTGGGAGTGCTGCCTCTGCAGCCCATCTCTCGGGTGCGTCCCCGGCGCCGTCTGCAGGTGGCAGTGTGACCGCTTTCCCTTCCTCTGGTTTTGTTGGTTTATTAGGTCAACCTGAATCTGTTGCATCTCCCATGTACCCTTCTTCTGCTAATGAAACTTCGTTCCAGTACTCTGCCTCACCTTCCTCCACCATTGACTTCGTTCTGGACAGTGGAGCCACTGACACTGTCCTTCGCGACGCTGGTACACTGCGCCCTCTCCCCACACCAACCTCCCTCCTCGGCGCTGATAGCAGTTTTTCCATCCCTTGTCACAACACCTCCACCCTTCCCTGTCCTCTCTTTCCCTTAGGTACTGTCACCGGTCTCCACATTCCCTCCTTTCGTACTAACCTCCTCTCCCAAAGGTCCCTCCAACAAGCCATGATCACCACTCTCATCCCAGGTGGTGCTAACCATTGTGACCTATACCAAACCTCCACAGGTCGTTTTCTCGCCCGTATTCCCTATTGTCCTCACTCCCGTCTGTACACCCTTCGGGTTCCCCGCCCCCTCACCTTCCAAGTTGCCTCCCCCCCCCTCCTTCCCCCCCCCCCCTCCCCTCCCTCCCACTAACCCACCCCTCCCCCCTCGCCCTCCTGACTCTGACTGTTCCTGTCGCTCCCTCTCCCACCCCACCATCCTCCTCCATCACAGGCTAGGCCACCCCAACTTCGCTACTCTGCGCTCCTCTGTCTCCTCCGGTCTCCTCCACGGTCTCCCCTGCTCCCTCCCTCCCCTCCCCAAATCCCCTGCACCCCCCTGCACCGTCTGCGTTCAGAGCAAGCTCAAGCAGCAGCCGCACCGGAGCTCCCCCTTCGCTGCTACGCAGCCACTTGATCTTGTTCACATGGACCTATGGGGCCCTAATCCCTCTCCCACTCGCCAGGGCCATCGCTACCTTCTCGTGCTTGTTGATGATCACAGTCGGTACTCGTCCGTCTCTCTCCTTCGGACGAAGGCGGATGCCCCGGCTGCGATCATCGCCTGGCTCGAGCGGGCAAACACCCATTTTGGGCGCCCTGTTCGCCGCCTTCACTCTGATGGAGGTGGTGAGTTCCTTAACAACCAAGTCTCCTCCTATTGTCAGTCTCGTGGCATCCTTCAGACTTACACCCTCCCTCACTCCTCATAGCAGAACGGTGTGGCTGAGAGTCGTGTTCGAGAGATCACCAAAACAGCCCGGTGTCTGCTTGTCCACGCCTCCTGCCCCCCTTCTCTTTGGGGCTACGCCCTCCTTCATGCCGCCCTCCTTACTAACCTTTACCCTCACCCCCCTTCTCCCCTCCATCACCCCCACTGAGCTGTGGACGAAGGACAAGCCTGATGCCTCATCACTTCGTGTCTGGGGCTCTAAGACACATGTCCTCATTCACCCCTTTGACCGCTCCCGTTCCATGGGAAAGCTTGCCCCTCGTACCCTTCCTTGCATCTTCCTTGGTCATAATCCCTCCTCCCCCGACTACCTTTTCCTCCACCCACCATCCGGTCGTCTAATCCGCAGCGGGGATGTGGTCTTTGACGAGTCCACTCCCTACTACTCCTCTCCCACATCTACTGACCCACTCCCCCCTCTCACCCGTCCCCTTGTCTGGTCTGACACCACCCCTCCCCCACCACTCCCTCCTCCCCCCATCCTCCCACCCCCCCCTTCTCCGCCGTCCCAGTCCCATGGTGCCCCTCCCTCTTCTGGTGACATCTTTGACCCGGAACCTCTGTCTTCTCCTGTCTCCCCCGCTCACTCCTCTCCTAGTACCCCTCCCCCCCCCCCTTCCTCTCCCTCGCCACCAACCTGTCCTCCCCCTTCCCGCACCATACTCACCCGGTATCCCCACACCAGGTCACGTGACGGTATCCTTGGTGCACCGCCTCCCGTTACCCTCTCTACCTCTACCCTCCCCACTCTCTCCCCCCTCCTCCGTCACTTCTTCCAGGCTGTCTTGCATCAAGCCCCTCATGCAACAGCCCCCTCAGCCACCTCCTCTCCAGCAGCGGCACCAGCAGTGGGACCAGCAGCGGCAGCAGCAGCAGCGCCAGCAGCCGCAGCAGCAGCAGGACCAGCATCAGCAGCAGCAGGACCAGCAGCGGCAGCAGCAGCGGGAGCGGCATCGGCAGCAGCAGCGGGACCAGCAGCGGCACCAGCAGCGGCACCAGCAGCAGCACCAGCAACAGTACCAGCAACAGTACCAGCAGCGGCACCAGCAACGGCACCACAAGCGGCACCAGCAGCGGCACCAGCAGCGGCACCAGCAGCAGTACCAGCACCGGCACCGGCAGCGACTCCACCAGCAGCACCAGCAGCGGCACCAGCAGTCATCCGCGCCTTCCACACCTCCCTCTCTGAGGACTCCCATGAAGAGTTCCTTGACCTCCACCTTTATGACCCCTCGCTTCTACCCATCACGTTCGACCTCTCTGGCACACCTGTCTTCGCCTTCTCCTCTGCTCCCTCCATTGTCGTTCCTACCACGTACGAGGAGGCAATGGCGTGCCCTGACGCTCCGCTATGGCTCGCCGCCATCATCAAGGAGCTGGAGGCCTTTATCGGCAACTCCTCTTTTGTCGATGTGCCTCGCCCTCCCGCCCCTACGAACGTGGTGAAAGGAAAGTGGGTGTTTCGCGTCAAGCAGCTGCCAGGGGAGCCGCCCGTTTATAAGGCTCGTTACTGCGCCAAGGGGTTCACGCAGCGGTATGGTTTTGACTTCTTCGATACCTTCTCCCCTAGTGCCAAGCCTGCTACTATTCGCGCCGTGCTCGACCTCGCTGCTCGCCTCAATATGGAGATCCACTCGATGGACGTTTATAACGCCTTCCTACAAGGCGTCCTCCGCGAGCTTATGTACATGGAGCGTCCAGCCGGCTTTCACCTTCCCTTCCCAGCAGACTCTGTCTGGCAGCTGCATCGACCGGTGTATGGGCTCCGACAGGCCCCGAGGGAGTGGCATGCTAAACTTGCCGCCACCCTTGCTGAACTTGGGTTGCAGATCGGGGAGCGGGGAGTGCAGATCTGGGCGCTGGAGTTGCAGATCTGAGCGCGGGGAGTGCAGATCTGGGCGCTGGAGTTGCAGATCTGGACGTGCCTTGGAGGGCAGCGCCTTAGGGGGCGCACGGGGAGGGAGGACAGCGCCTAAAGGGCGCGTGAAGGGAGGGCAGCTCCGTGGGTGGGGCTAGATCTGAGGAACGGGGAGGAGAGGGTGGCCTAAGGACCGAGGGAGGAAGGCGTGAGCCATTAGCTCTGATACCATGTTAGAAGAGAGAGAATTGATGCATTACATAATGAGCCAAGAGGCCCTTAGTACAAACAATGAGCAAGAGAGAGATGAGAGGGAAGCTTACCCTAATGGCCAATAAGTTGGCCAATGGGTGAGCTTGCTTGTGACGCAAGCAACCACAAATGTGTGTTGGTTGGGATTGGTTGAGCTAAGGACCAATCCCAACCAACCACAAAATGTGGTTGGAGGGTACACTAAGCAACCCCCCAATTTATAAATGTGCTACACTTCTAGCCTATGCATGTTGTATAAAATATGAAATTACAACACATCAGCCTCCAGCAACACTGTGAGGCCGCTACCATGGGATTCGGGGGAGTGGGGGAGGGGAAGAGGGGGAGAGGGGGAGAGGGGGAGGGGGAGAGGGGGAGAGGGGGAGAGGGGGGGGGGGGGGGGGAGAGGAGGAGGAGGATCAGAGGAGGGCTGGCAGCAGCGATCCTCTCAGCCTGCTTCAGCACTGCAGTAGATGGAGAAGAGCAAGGGGTGGAGAAAGAGGCGAGAAAGGGGCACTATTGGAGGGGAGGGTTACCTGGTGGAGAGGATTACCTAGAGGGGAGGGTTACCTAGTGGGGAGGGTTACCTGGTGGAGAGGGTTATCTGGTGGGGAGGGTTACCTGGTGGGGAGGGTTACCTGGTGGGGAGGGTTACCTGGTGGGGAGGGTTACATGGTGGGGAGGGTTACTTACTGAAGAAAATTAATTACCTAGTGGGGAGGATGACTCGTTTGCTGTTTGGCAGCAGGTTGAGCAGTCGGCCTGTCTCTGCCACTGCCGGCAGCACCCTGTCCTTTGATGAGGCCACCTGGTGGCATGGCAGGGGAGTAAGATAGGAATAGACGAATGGAGGTGTGGTGGAGGGGCAGAGGTGGTTTTTGAGGCGCCTCAAAAACCACCTCAAGGCAGGGGAGTAAGATAGGAATAGACGCATGGAGGTGTGGAGGGGCGGAGGGATGAGTGCGGCAATAACCCTCCTGGACGCAACGCAACGCAAGCAAGCGCACCTCAGCCACTCACGACTTTCTGCTTTACTGTGGGTCCGCCCCTCGCTCATCCCTCTACCACGTTAGAACTTCAAGTTGCTCCCGCGACACATTCTTACCAGCTAGATTGCCCGTACCTGCTTGCAGCTGGTTGAGCGAAATTAGTTTTTTTAGTATTCTCAAGTATTTTCAAAAGCCGGTTTGCGGCTGGTTCAACAGAACCAATTTGAAAACTCCACACGGGAAAGATAGGCAGTGGGGATGACAGTCAGCACAGGCCTAGTTGGCTATTGGTTAACTCAACTCAATCTCTGAGTCGATTCAATCTGAAGCACGCAGCAGGGTGGTACCAGCAAGGTGGGCGTGGGGTGGGGATGGAGCGCAGCACGGCTGCACGGCATCAGACAGCCCATACTGGTCGTTGAGCCGACTTCAGAGTTTGAGTCGTTTCAATGCTTGACTCATTTTAATCTTTAAGTCGACTCAAACACAGCGGCGTACCAGCAGGGTGGGCGCGTGGATGGAGCGCAGCACGGCATCTGACAGCCCAGACTGGTCGTTCAGCAGAGAGAGCCGCCACGACGCACACGCCGCCGGCACGTAGTCGATGGGAGACAGCACGCGTAGTGACGCCTCCCCTCCTCCCACGCTAGTGCCGGCTGCTGCTGCAGCAGGTTGGACCCGGCTTCGCTTCACCAGCAGAGGCAGCGCCACGTCCTGGCATGTGAGGGCAGGCAGGCACACGGAATGAGAATTTTGTCAGATAAACGCCTTCTGGGGCACCGCAAAAGTCCTGGCATGGCATGACGGGCAGGCAGGCACACAGGATGATTTGCACAAGAGTGGATTTCGTTGGAAAAAAACCGTCTGGGGAAGGGTGCATTGAAGAAGTGAGGGCAGGCAGGCACACAGAACGAGAATTCTGAGGTTGCATAATTCGGTGTTGTGGGCTTTGCTTTGTGTGTTTGTGGAGGTCGGAAACGAAGTGGGGAGGAAACGAAGTGGGGAGGAAACGAAGTGGGGAGGAGAATCTTTAACGCGTTAGGGAACAAGGAGAGCAAGTGATAAGAGCACGCAGGAGAGAGGGAATGAAGGGCGCGGAGACTGGATGTGACCTGGGCGAATTCGTAGAGCGGCGGCGGGAAGAAGGCAAGCAGGCCCGTGGCAACACAGAGGCTGACGAGCGGGTTGTTGGTGGGGAAGGCCGTTGCTGGGTTGATCTGCTTGGCACGAGGTTAGAAGGGCGGGTGTGGGGGAAGGGGACGAGGGAACGAGGGGAGCGAGGGGGCACATGAAAAGGGCAGGAGAGGCTGACGAGCGGGTTGTTGGTGGGGAAGGCCGTTGCTGGGTTGATCTGCTTGGCACGAGGTTAGAAGGGCGGGTGTGGGGGAAGGGGACGAGGGAACGAGGGGAGCGAGGGGGCACATGAAAAGGGCAGGAGAGGCTGACGAGCGGGTTGTTGGTGGGGAAGGCCGTTGCTGGGTTGATCTGCTTGGCACGGGATGGTGATGAGTGGCATGGCATCAGTGGTGTGCAAGGGGCGAAGGGGCACGGGGGAAGGGGACAAGGGCGCAAGGGGGAAAAGGGGAAGCGGCCAAAGAAGGAAGGGGGCAAAAGGGGGAGGAAGAAGGGAGATGAGAGGGATGGTAGCGGGTGTGCGACCGGCCCGGCATGCATGATGCTAGAATGGAGACCCACTGGGAACTGGAAGAACAGACACAGTCACTCACACAGGGGCAGCAGATTTTTGAGAATTCTCAAAAACCAGCCCAACATGCATAATGTTAGCAAAAAGACCCACTGGGAACCGGAAGAGCAGACACAGTCACTCACACAGGGGCAGCGGATACAGGGGCAGCGGACGAAGGTGCGAGGAAATAGAGCCAGATGGGAAAGGAGCATCGAAACTACCAAAACGCGTGGGGCAGGCAGCGGAGGAGGAAAGGCATCTCACTCACGAGCACGAGGCGGTGCAGCAGGCCGGGGTTGGCAGCAGCAATGCGCAGAGCCAGGCACGCCCCAAACGACTCCGCCAGCACCGTCACCTCCCGCGCTCCCTCCCGTGCTGCCTCCCTGCCCCTTCTGTCCCCACTGGCCCCCCGCTCCTCGGCGTCCTCCTCATTGGCTGCCTGCTGTATGAGCGGTGCGACTCGGCGAACCAGCTGCCGCCACGTGGAGCGGTCGGACATGGGGATGTAGAGGGCGCGGATGTCGAAGCTGGGGGGGAGGGGAAGAGCACGATTGGGGGAGAAGAAGTGGATGGGGAGAGTGAGGGGGAGGGGGGAGGGTGGAGCGGGGAGCAAATAGGAATTTACTCATGCCACATGGAGCAGTCACTCATGGGGATGTAGAGGGTGCGGATGTCGAAGCTGGGGGGGGAGGGGAAGAGCATGGTTGGGGGGGGAAGAAGGGGAGAGGGGGAGGCAAGGAAAGCTAATAGGAATGTACTCGTGTTGCGTGGAGCAGTCGGTGGTGGGAATGACTTTCGAGGCGCCTCAGAAAGCTAGTAGGAATGTACTCATGTCGCGTGGAGTGGTGGGTGGGGTGGGGATGTAGAGGCGCGGATGTGAAAGCTGGATGGCGGAAGGCTGGCATACAGGGGAGGGGGGAGGGGATCAAGGGGCGGGAAAGAGGAAGCAGCAAGCAGCCATCCTACAGGCCAGCCAGCTGGCAGACGAATCCAACGTGCAAGATGATTGAAGGCACCCAGCTTTGCTGCGTGTTCAGAACTCACACACCACCTAACACACTCCCATCCAATCACACACCTAACAGTAACACACACACGTACCCAGCACGTGTCAGAGATTTGATTTGGGGCTGCAGGCACTGCCCGGTGCCGTCCATTCCTGGCAGATACACCAACAGCGGCCGCCCAGAAGCTGCATCTGCCGGGAAACCGGACAGCTCCTGAAGCCGAAGGAGACGAATCTCCCCGCCCAGTCCCGTGAAATCCGGAACAGGACACGCTGGCGACACGTCATCTAAATCCGACTCTGACCAATAAGGAGATGACAGTAATGATGACTGTGATGATGATACCGATGATGCTGGTGGTGAGGGTGACACTCTCCCTGATGGCACCAGGCTATCCCCGTTTGTGTCAGTCCCGTTTTCGTTGGTTGCCCTGCATTTGGCCGAGCCACGCCCTGTGCTGCTGTTAACGGCCCCGCTTGCAAATAAACAGCCTCTTCGCTGCATGAATGGCGCGGTGTAAGGCGAGCCTTTCGGAGACGGGAATTCATTGTAGCGGAGCAATCTAAAACGCGAACGAATATCCACGTCTTGATGTTTTCCTAGCGCTACCGACGGAGTAACAGACTGGCCAATGGCGAAGAGACAGCTGTCGGACGAAAACATACGCGTGCAACGAGGGAGCTCGTGCCATGCTGAGGCGTCACGACGGCACGTCACGCGACTACGGGTGAGGGGGGAATGAACGAGATCGTTGGCGCGGTGGGACGGAGGGATGGGCGACGCGGAGGTGTGTGGTGGCGCGACGAAGATTGATTCCGTGGCCATGGGCCGCGGTTCGCCGCAACGCAGTCCTGAGAGCAATTCGCAGTACAGTCGCGAGAGCAATTCGCAGTACAGTCGCGCGAGCAATTCGCAGTACAGTAGTGAGAGCGCTTCGCAATGCAGTTGTGAAGGCAATAGGCAGTACTGGTATCCGTCACGCGAGAACGGAAAACGAATAGGCCGTTCGGGAGGCTTGTCTGGGGCCGTGTTGAGCCATGGCGGAAGAGCGAACACAATTGGGCTTCGCCTAGCCTAAGGGCGTGTAAGATCTCCAACCTGTTCACGTTCTGTAGTGTTACGAGTGCAATTGACTGATCGAACGAGAATTGCACTATCTAAGCAAGAGTACAATGAGCGAAGGCATGAGCGAAGAATATATAGCGAAACTACAGTGGTAACGGTAATGAACTGTGGGTGAAGCGAGGCGGGCCTGGAACTGAGGTTGGGACTGTGGTTTGGAAATGTTGAGGCGGAGGCCCGGAGCGCGGGTTACCCGCCGAGCCGTGAGGTCGGGGTGCGACGTGCGAAAGTGGCCGGAGGATTGTCGATGCGAGGGTTGCGAGTGGTAACGGTGCTGACTGAGGTGCTACAGTGATGTACGCGCTGAGCAGGGGCGCGAAGTAAGGAAAATGAATTTTCCTTACACTACCCCCCCCCCACCCCCCTAAGGAGGCCCTCCTTACGAAAGCGAGTGTACATCCCGAAAATTTCGGCTGAGCAGATACTCGGTAAGGACAGGGTGGTTTTCGATTCTGACCAGGGGAACCCAGTTGTCTTCGGTGGGTGTGCGGTCTCTCCAGCGGATCAGGAATTCGATCCTTCGAGCTCCTCGTGTGTCACGAACTCGGTGGCTCAGAATCTTCTCGGGCGTGATGATTGGCTCGCTCGGCGGTCGTGTCATGCTGGTTGGGCGGTTGCGGGGCAGTTGGCTGGTGGATGGTACGTAGGGGCGGAGCAGGCTGGCGTGGAAGGACGGGCTGACGTACTAGTCAGCAGGGAGGAGGAGATGCGGTGACGAGTGTGATGATGTGGCTAATGCGGAATGGCCCACAATATCGAGGACGGAGTTTTGGGGCAATGGGCAGGCGGAGGTTCTGGGTGTCGAGTAAAACTAGGTCGTCGGGCTCGTAAGTAACAGGTCGGCGGTGGCGGTCAACGTTGCGTTTAGCGATAATGTTTGATTTTATGATCGCGTCTGCTGCTCGGGTCCATGCTACTTGTAAAATTTCGGCGAACTGTTGCGCTTGTGGCACCGGGTTGTCGGGATTCGGGGTCACGGGTACTGTCGGGTCTTGTCCGTAGTTCAGGTAAAACGGTGACTGTTGTGTTGTGGCGGAAGGCGAATTGTTGTACGCGAACTCGATGAGTGGCAGCTGCTGTTCCCAGTTGGTTGGATCGTCGCACGTGGCTCAGATGAGTTGCTCCATGGTCTGATTTGTCCTTTCTGTCTGTCCGTCGGTCTCGGGGTGGTACGAAGAACTGAACTGTAGCCGCGTGCCGAACTGCTGCCACAAGTTCCGCTAGAAGTTCCTGGTGAATTTCGTGTCGCGGTCGCTGATAATCGCTGCTGGTATCCCGCGCAGTCGAACGACGATGGAGATGAAGAGGCGGGCTGTTTCTTCGGTTGTGATTGATTTCCTGCAGGCTGCAAAGTGTGCCATTTTCGTCAGTCGATCGACGACCACCAGGATCGCGTCGTTCCCACTCGCTCTGGCTGGTAACCTCGTGACGAAGTCCATCGTCACCTACTGCCAAGCATGCTCTGGGGGTGGTATCGGCTGTAACTGTCCTGTCGGCCGCTTCCGTGATGATTTCATGAGCTGGCAAGTGGGACACGATGCCACATGTCGCTGTACGTCAGTCAACATTTCGGGCCAGTAATTATCCTGCTGTAGCTGCTGCCGTGTTTTCTCTACCCCGAAATGCACAGAGGTAACTCCATCGTGTGCCTCTTGTAACAGTAATTCCCGTAGCAGTGCGTACCCTGGTACCCAGATGCTGTCGGTTCCGGCTTTTACGTAATAAACTCCCTTTGCTGTTGCGAACTACTGCGAATTTCCTCCTGTGAAGAATGGATCTGTTTGGTACCCGTGGGTAAATAGTCCTGTCAGTAGTGGGCTGGTCTGGGCAAGTAGTATTGCATGGATCTGGGCAGTGGGGCGGGTCAGTGCGTCGGCGATGTTTGATGCCCCCTTTTTCTAGGTGACTGTGTAATGGAAATCGGACTCGAGAAAATCAAGCCAGCGGATCTGTCGTGGGTTGAGGTGTGGCTATGCGTGGAGGTAATGTAGTGATTTATGGTCTGTCCGTACTGTCACGTCTGCGCCGGTCAAGTAACAGCGCCACACTTTGAATGCGTGCACGATCGCGAGCATTTCGCGGTCATGTATCGGGTAATTTTTCTCAGGCGGATGCAGTTTTCGTGACTCGTATGCGATGGGTTGTAGGCCGTTGCCAAAGTCTTGTAGCAGTACGGCTCTGATGGTGATGTCGCTGGCGTCTGTAACTACTTCGAATGGGCGGTGTGGGTCGGCGATGCACAGTACGGGCGGTGAACAGAGAAAAATTTTCAGGGCAGAGAAGGCGGCGTGCTCTTTCTCCCCCCACGTAAAAAACCCCTTGCGCAGTAAGTCCGTGAGTGGTGCTGTTAAGCGCGCCATGTCGGGGACGAACCGACGCACGTAATTTACAAAACCCAAAAAGCTCTGCAACTCCGCGATATTCGTCGGGGGGTGCCACGCTTTTACCGTGTCTTTGGGTGAATTTCGACCCCAGGCTCCGAAATGACGTGCCCCAAAAGCTCTAGCCTGTCCTGAAAAAACCCGCACTTAGAACCCTTTGTCAGTAGCCGATGCTCGTCTAAGATTTTAAACACTGCTTCCACGTCTGCTAGGTGCTGCTGCTTGTCGCGACTGTAGACGAGGATGTCGTCGAGGTAAACTATCACGCATTTATCTAAAAGTGGCCTAAACGCCTCGTTCATGGTCATCTGAAATGTCGTCGGTGCGTTGGTCAGCCCGAAGGGAATCACATTGTACTCAAACGACCCGTACCTAGTCCGAAAAGCTGTTTTGGCGTAGTCCGATGGTTCGACTCTAATCTGATAGTAACCTCCCTGTAAATCTATTTTCGAAAAAGCCCGTGCTGTTCGCAGTTGGTCTATCAGTTCGTCGGCGCAGGGAATGGGGTATCGCGACTTGACAGTTACCCTGTTCAGTGCTTTGTAATCTATGCACATGCGAAACCCTCCGTCTTTTTTCGGTGTGAACAGTATCGGTGCGGCGAACGGTGACGAACTCGGTCGGATGAATTTTTTCTCTAACAGGTAATTTAACTGCTTCCTCTGTTCGTCGAGCTTGGGTTGTGTCACTCTGAACTGTCGCTGTACGGTTGGCTGTGCCCCCGGTTCTAATTCTATTCGGTGGTTGTGTGGTCGCTGAGGTGGCTGTCCCTTTGGTAAATCATTGGGAAAAATCCCTGGGTATCGTTTCAACAGTTCATGTAGTTCGCGCGGTACTGCTGCCAGCAGTTTCTTGAAATCGCTCGGCTACTCTGCTTTCTTTACCACTGCAATGTCTACTGCGTACATGTCAGCTCCAGCGGCGACAGCCTGTTAGTAGAGCTACACTGTGAGATCCCCGATCGATCCTAGGGGGGGTTACAGGCGCGTTTGCCTGGGGGGTTATGGGCGCACTGACACGCTACTGAAACAAGCCCTTTATCCCAATGGTCTAGTGGTTGGGATTCTGACATGGTATCAGAGCGGTCTCGGGTTCGAATCCCGGTGTATGCACATGTTGCCCGTTGCCACTGTGCTCAGTCCTGGGCCTCCCAGTGTGGGGGGGTGTCAGTAGAGCTACACTGTGAGATCCCCGATCGATCCTAGGGGGGGTTACAGGCGCGTTTGCCTGGGGGGTTATGGGCGCACTGACTCGCTACTGAAACAAGCCCTTCTATCCCAATGGTCTAGTGACTGGGATTCTGACATGGTGTCAGAGTGGTCTCGGGTTCGAATCCCGATATATGCACGTGTAGGCCGTTGTGGCTGTGCTTAGTCCTGGGCCTCCCTGTGTGGGGGGGTGTCAGTAGATCTGCACTGCGGATGCCCGATTGATCCTACGGGGGGTTACAGGCGCGTTTGCCTGGGGGGTTATGGGCGCACTCTGACCCGCTAATTAACAAGCCCTTTTATCCCAATGGTCTAGTGGTTGGGATTCTGACACAGCCCGTTTCATGGTGACGGCGTTGACGTGTACCGTTGAAGACTCAGGCGACTGCTAGCGAGGTAGCTCGACCCAGTTACCGCTACTTCGCATAGTGCAGCTACC